AAAAAAAAAAAAAAAAAAAAAAAAAAAAAAAAAAAAGAATGCAGGAACTTTTGTGGGTGTCTCCTCCACATCCACTGCCCCCCGCCCCCCACCAGATCCTGTTTCTGTCTGAGGATCATGCAGATAGAGAGGCTGACTGTAGCCCAGCTCCAGGGAATGCATGTCAATCAGCACATTCCATCGCCCTGGTCACAAGGATTGGTTAGGCAGGGATGTGTTCCTGAGCCTCTCCAATCAGAATGAACCCCAGGACTTTTGTTAGAACCCTGAGATATAAACTTTCTGTTTCCTGTAATGCATAAGTAAGAATGCATACAGTTCTGAGAGCTTCTGACAGCCTTTTTGGGACACTGAAGATATTCCCAGAGAAAGAGAGAGAGGGTAGACCTAAAGAAAACTGGTTTTTAGTGACAGTGTTGAGTCCTGCCTGAAGGCAGCCATACTGCTAGATGCTTCAGTTATGTGAGCCAATATATTATCTTCATTGTTATGCCAATTTGGATTGGGTTTTCTCTTACTTGCATCCAAAAGCATCTTAACTGATGACTGCCATCTCAGAGCATAACTTTGTAGTCAGAAGAATGACTGTTGCCCAGGAACATATATCTAAAGGCTGAGATATTTGGCACACAAAGTTAGAGTCAGAGTCTAAGAAAGACGAGTGAAGTCTCTGGCAATGACAGAAGGATTCTTGAATAAGATAGTGGAATTTCAGCAGTGGAGAGGAAAAGGTAACATTCTAGTTTGGGCAGGAAGCAAGAGCGATGAGAGAAGGATGCATTTGTAAGGCTGTGATTTCCTTTTTGGGGGGAATGTGTGTTTTGGGAAAATCAGATGTAGATATTTGGGATGGCGACAGATTATAGGGAGCTTTGAAAACCAAGTAGATAAATTTAAACACCTCCATGGTCAAAAGGAAGTCATCACATGGATTGAGCAATGAAATGACAGGAAGTGCTTTAAGTAAAAACATACGTGTGAGGGTGGAGCCAGTTGACCGCAGAGTCCAAAAAGGCCAAAGAGGAGACTGTGAGCGATGACCAGACACAAGGTGACAGGATTGGAATAGTAAAATAGTAACAACAAATGTTTACTGGTAGCTGCCTGACTTGGGGCTCTTTGTTGGGTGCTAGGAAGATAGGCTGAATATGAGTGGTCCCCATCTTCAAGGAGCTTACAGTCTGTTGAAGAAGACAGATTAGGGGTGTATAGCACGTAAAGACAGTGGGATAGGAACTGTAAGGAAATATGTATACGAAATAAAGGAACAAGTAATAGCTGGGATGGGAAATTGGGGAAGACTTCACAGAGACATGACAGTGGAGATGAGTGTGACAGACAGTATAGGGGAAGTCCTGGCTGGGCTTGGTGGCAGATAGGACCTGGGAATTAAGGGGGAAGGAGAGCTGAAACTAGCCATGGAAGTAGAAATACACACATGTTGGAGGCAGACTCCAAGATATGGGGCAGAGACTGTCCTTCCTAAGGATGAAGGAAAGGCCTGGCAGCTGCAAGTTGTCTGGCCCAAAGAACCTAGAGAATGGTGACGCTATGGACAAAACAAGATAAGGATAATGATAATGATAATAGTAATGGTTATGAGTACTTATAATGTGTCAGGCACTGTCGATCCTCAGAGTAAACACACGGGGAGTTGCTGTTATTGCAAGGGTACTTTAAAAAGTTCATGGAAAGATTTGTATTATCTTTTAATTCTATTTTTCTATGAACTTTT